CTGGTCTCTCCTCTCACTCTCTTCTCCCCCCTCCTTTTTCCATTTTCTCCCTTTTCTCTTCCACTTGAGACCAATTTGGCACATTTGTTGGTTCCCATTTTTTGGAATAATTTATGGTCATGCCAGTTTTCCCCATCTACAATAGTTGGACACAGTTTTATCTGTGCTTGGTCTCATGCCGCCCCTTGGGATATCTTTTCACTATGACATATGTCCCAATTGTCCTTCCATTGTTAAGATTGCACTTGTTAAATTTTGTTCGGTTCTACTTTTTGAAGGACTAAAGAAAAAAAAAAAAGTTTAAAAAAAAATATAGAACTAAAACATAAAAGATCGGGTTTGCCTGTCAGATTTTCAGGCGGACCCGATCCGATGCGCAATGCAGGTCTATGGACAGCTGTGTGTAAACAGATGAGTGCCAGTTCACACCCGGAAGTCACAGTGGTGACATCCGCTCTGTTCTGCTGTGATAAGGAGAGGATCCATGCAGTTTGACCTACAAACAGCGGAGGCAGCACTACCGGTTTCAGTGTTTTCTAATATTTGGACATTTTCTTTTAATATACACAGATACTGTTTCATGATTCTAAATTGCAAAGTGACTTTATTGCTGGTTTACACATTAAAAGGTTGCAAAGGGAATGCATTTCCAAACAAAAACATTATCATGAATGTCCCATATAAAAAAATATCACATTTGTTGTCTTGATTGTGCACAGGTTTGCTGAGGAAAATAGTTCTCTTTTTTTGCAGCCAAAATGATATCCATAATCCAGATTACTCCTGAAGCAGCACAATGTCCGTTTTGTCATGCACCCCTTGTAAAAGCAGCTCTCCGTCATATGCCAAAATCTTCTTGCGTTTGGCAGCTTTCAAGGTTCCAACCATGGCTTCAAATAGATTGGCGCATTGTTCATCATGAAATAATACACCAAACGTTACTTTCACTTTCCCATCCTGATCTGCAAATGAAAAGAATTATAGAAATTTGCATCACGGAGAAAGCTGGATTTATTCAGTTCAGCAAAGAACAATGTGCTGTTACTCCATGGCCACAAATCAAAAAATCATGTTTCACTGATTTAACTACATCTAAACAGAAATGATTTTATCTATATGAGCTTATATAGCAAGGTAGTACAAAGTGCAATCGCGTTTTAAAATCAAAGTGTAGCACACCTGATCAGCTTTTGCAAATATATTAGGCATATACTGAAGTAGGGGGTTCAGTTAACAGCCATGGTACGTCCCTCCCACCAATAACTATTGATTCTACAGGGCCCCTTCAGCCAGTTATACTGAGGCGCTTTAAAATGCGTTGCATTAGGGCAGCCCATTTATTTGTGCAGGAAGATAGATTTGGGTGCCATTCAAAATAAATGGCACCGCAGCACACCAACATGAACATGTATTACAATGCATGGGGCTAAGCAACACATGCAATTTAAAATTGCTTGAAACTGAGCGACTTAAAACAACTTGATTGCAATCATCTCATTAAGCTAGAGCTATATAAGAGTTTTTCAAAAGCTCAGTCATGCTACTAAAATCACTAGCTAGGAATAGCAAATAGTTAAAAACCAGAACAAATAGGCCCCTAAGGAGCAGTTGTCCAACAATAGCCACAGCTGGCCAGGCAGGAGCTATGGGGCCTTGGGTAGGAGGGGCCCCATTAAGGTGCCCATACACCTTGCAATTTATCTGCAGATTTTCTGTGGTCAGATGGAAAAAGTGCAACAGATTGGCCCAGGTGGAGATTACTCCATCCACACAGTTAAGTGTAGATGGAGGAATCTGTTGCACCTTTTCCATCTGACCACAGAAAATCTGCAGATAATTGTAAGGTGTATGGCCAGCTTTAGGAAGGCTGCTAATCCGAGTTTCACCTCTGTTAAAAATGTATACGACAGCCAATATCAGTATGGTCATTACTACTGCTCTAACCGTTCTCCAGTTCTCCAAAGCACTGGTCCCTACTAGTGTACTGACTATACAGACAGCTCTCCTGCTGCCCGTTCTTGATTTAAGCATACGTATTCTATATTTATGTTACAATCAGTTGCATGTATCGTTAGGGAGATTACATTTGATAAATGCTATTTGTATAGCTTACGCCATAGTGAGCCTTTTATACTGTCTACTTGATAGTTAATTTCTACGGTTAGTAATTTTAGTTGCACGACTGTGGTACTAAACTTCTGTGTAGTTGTTTGTTTAAAAACCATGGTCAGAGATGAGAGTGCAACATGGTTACTTTTGTGTCTAATGCGTTTCATATATCTGCAGATCTCAGAAATGAGCTTGATCTGCATAGGTCAAATATATATTGTCAGTTAAATCAACCTGACAAGTAAAAAAAAAAAAAAAAAAAAAAAAAAAAAGTTTTTTTAATTAGAATTTGTTCTTATTTAACCCTTTAGTTTACCCAAATCTTGTATTTCTTTCCCTTTTGCTCTTAACTGTTTTCCTGAATCACTTTTTGGGGGTTTTTGCGCATTTCTTTTTTCTAACCATTATTATTTACTTTTATTTTGATTTGTTTGTTAAAAAAAACAATGTATAGATAAAAAAAAAAAAAGAACTATGGGGTCAGTGCTTTTCCCCATAGTTCTCCCCAGGGGTCACAAACTAGCATCCTCCCCGTGACCCAAACCTCTGGAGACCACCGCAGCTGGGACGGATCCCGACATTACTGTCTGGATCCACCCAGCTGCGTGATTGACAGCTGGCTCTGCCTATCTATAGGCAGAACCAGCTGTACCCACGCCCTCCCTCGTCTGTTCCGCCAGTCAGCGCTGGAGGATCGGACAGGGGAGGGGGGAATCCCTGCAGGGAGCCGTGAGGGACAGTCACGGCTCTCTGCAGGGACAGGATCAAGAAGTGAGCGTGCGACGGTATGTGTTCGCTCACTTCCTGATCTATTGAGCCGACGTGTGACAGTTTCATTGTCACACGTCGGCTCGAACTATGAGGCTGAGTGATTTTTTCTCACCTCAGAGTTCTCCTTTAAAAATAGGACATATTATACAATTAGAAAAAGGCTTGTTACTTTGTCTATGGAATAATATACATTTTTTTTTTGCAAGACAATAATCACCAAAAGGAAGTCTTTATTGTTTTATTGTCTAACCAATTCTGGATTTTGTAGGTATGCCTTACATCCTGGCTTTGAAGTGTTTAAAACAAGCTCAGCTGCTGCTGAAGTTTCTGATTTTTTCAGAAAGCTCCCCACACTGTAGTAAAAGTGAACCTTTAAAAAGGTGCCCATACACTGTACGATTATCGTACGATAATGACGGGAAATCCAGCAATTGTACGATAATCGCAAAGTGTATGGAAGGCGTGCGACTGTTTCTACTGTACGGTCGCACGTCTACCGTCGAACAAGCAGGCTGGAAAACCGCCGAGAATCGTACGATTCTCTGCGAGTTAGTGGCCTGCTTGTTCGACAACTGCCAAACGGGCCGGTGTGCGCACACTGCACGTTCAGCATTTCAGTCATCGGCAGCCCGCCCCTCAGGGGGACGGGCTTGAGATGATCGCAAATACGATCTGCTTGTCCAAGATGGGCAGATCGTACGTCTTGCGAGGGTTGTAAAGTGTATGGCCACCTTTACAAGATTTAGGGGTTCCTCATTTAAAGTGAGCTCTAAACTGATGAGCACACTCAGTTGAGGTTTGACATATTTGGTATTTATTTACTTGACACAATGTCATTTATTTATTTTGTACAAAATAAAAAAGGAGGCAATTGTGTGTGTAGTCCAACATTTATTTTAGTGTATTTTTACTGAAAATGTAGATTTAATAAAACAGTTGTGCAAATATTGTGCACTATAAAAAAATAAGATCGTTATTTTACATGGCCCCTGCTTCGATAAAATAGATCATGTTTTCGGGGTTTAAACTAAGTATCCAATTGGTTAAATAATGACAAAAGTTAATACTGAATAAAACTCCCATAGCAGAGCTGATCTAGCCCATAGGCAGTGTTACAGCTATGAGAGCAGAAATGGTTAAATATATTTTCAGGTCATGATATAATCACCTCTTTTGCCAAGACGATGGATCTGCTCCACCAAGACACTAATTTCATGGTCTACATTCATGTTTATTAATCTGAAAAACAAAAAAAAAAACTTGTATTTATTAAAATTTAAAAAATAGGTTTAAAATGTCACAAAACCCAAAGTAGGTGCCTCTCCCACCTCTGGATTGGCCCAGCCATGCAACAACCATTTGTGGGGGTTTTGAAAGCATTGCAATAGACTAGAACAAGAAGCGAAAATACAATCAAGTTTTTTCCAGCACTCCAGCAACACCTTGGTATAAACAAACATGGCTGAACAATGTTAACATTTTCCAGACATTCACAGCAGCTCTGCCTGTTGATTTAAAATCATCTTATATTCATTAGTGAAACAAAAAACTTGTTTTTCATTTACTTACAAATAGAGTTAATCTACTTCCTAGTTCAGTTTTTGCACAAATTATGTCATGTGCCAAAGTATTGCATCCTGGGAAGGTTACATCAGCAGAGAATTGCTGGGAAATCTTATCTGTAATCTCAGGAGATCTGGCTTACCTGAGCAGATTGTGAGAGATAGAGAGTAGAAAGCACATCATGATAAAAACACAGAGGCAGCCATTGCAGAGCTCTCATTCTGAAAATTGTAATATCCTAAAAAAATTAATTTTATTGTTTATCCGATTAACCGATTAATCGAACTTAATAATCGGCTAACTAATCGATTTTGAAAATAATCGTTAGCTGCAGCTCTACCTGGCTGTCATGTTGACGGTCCTTGGACAAGTATGCATACAAGGACTGCCAAGTGGCCATTGGTGCAGCACCGACTGCAAGTGCAATGACATTAGCAAGAGCAGTGGTAACAAGACCAGATAAAGTAGCTCATAATGCTGGTCTCTAACAGACCGGTCATCACAACCATGAACAGGGAGCAAGAACACAGAAATCAGGAATGAAAGTATTGCTGGGTTGGTATTGGTATCGGTAGCCCCCCCCTTTTCTTTTTTTTAACCAAAACTAGGTACAGATTGTGCCTATGACGTTCTGCATTTGAACACACAAGAATATCATGTTAAACATTTTCTTAGGCAACATATTTGGAAAGGTCAAAAGGTTTTCAGAAAATCAAATTTTTTTAAAAAACAGAATCAAACTCTAGTGTAAAAATGTTACATTGGCAATTTCCCTGACATCCAATCCAAGCATACCCATGTAAAAGAAACCTATACACTTTGTTTTGACATACACTCAGAAAAAAGCAGGAAGCTGCATTTGTGGAAGTTTTGAAAAGACATTTCCCTACACCCCTTCCTTCCTGTTTTCACAGAAATATTTTACTCACTAGCTGGGGACTTAAACTGCTGTTTAGATGACCAAATGCCTTAAAAGGAGAACTATAAGATGAGTGCTTTTCCCCCACCTCATAGTTCTACCCGACCTGTGACAATGAAACTGTCACAAGTCGGCTCAGTAGATTGGGAGGTGAGCGAACACATACCGGCGTTCGCTCACTTCCCGATCTTGTCACGGCAGAGAGCCGTGACACGGGGGAGGGACTGGATTCCCCCCTTCCTGCTCCGATCCGCCAGCGCTGACTGGCGGAACGGACGGGGGAGGGGGCAGGTACAGCTGGCTCTGCCTCTAGATAGGCAGAGCCAGCTGTCACTCACGCAGCTGGGCGGATCCAGACATAATTTCGGGATCCGTTTCAGTTGCGGCGCCTCAGTATACCGCGAGCTGTAGCTCGCGGTATACTGAGCTTAGGGTGACGTTAGGACACCAGTTTGTGTCCTCCCGTTACCCTTAGGAGAACTATTGGGAAAAGCCCTAACCTCATAGTTCTCCTTTAAGGAAACCTGTCATGAGAGAAATGGCAGCCCACATACTTCTCTTGTGGCAGGTATACTTTTGTTTTTGTTGGTCAGTAAAGATTAATTATGGACACCATAATACAGCTTTTGTAGAAGGATCAGAAGGTGTATATGATCTGGCACATTTTGCATCAACATCGGGACTGACAGGCTTACAGAAGCTCTCACACCAGTCCGTTTAAAAGCTCACTAGCCATCTCTTCTAACAAAGGCCAAACTTTCCAGATCTGTGGCTGCTTGTAAACATACACAACCATGGCAGATAGATCACCCAGCTTTGCAGTGCGGAGTGAGGTTTTACTGTTATGAATGAACCATTAGGGCTAAAAGGGGCCGGTGCTGTGTATGACACTCCTGTGGCAGGGCTGTACGAGTATTTACAAGCAGCCACAAAGCCTGCTACCTGCATTTGGTCCCCTGGGGGATTAAATACAAGTTTAACCATTTTTGTGAGAGTTTTTCTTTAATAGTGTAACTGTCAGATACAGTTTCACTATTAAAAATACAAATTAGAAAAAAGAAAAAAAAATGCTCACCGGAACTAAACTAAACTGTGACAGCAGCAGATTAGTCAATTTTCCACTTGAAAAATCAACTTTTGTCAAGCTGAGCAGGGCCACCCCCAGACAGAATTTCGGCCGATTCAGCAGAAGTAGATGAAATTCAATCCATGCATGGCCAGCTTACCTTGATTTCTCTTCTCATAATGTTAACCCTCATCAATTTCTTTTAACATCTGTGCTGTAATACTTTGCTATACATTATTATTATTGTGTCTCATTCAGTCAGATACACCGTTCCTCCTCTTTTGCTGCCATCCTAACAAACATTCCCCTTCAGTCTTACAATGTCCAGAACGAACTTACTCCAAAATGATCATATCATCTTCCTGCAATCCTCTGCACAGCAGCACTAGAAGTTGGGAACGTGCATTGCACAGTGCTGTCACTCTAACACTGGAAGTTTACTTACTTGGCTATAGTATCTGACATGGGCGTCAGAATACTGGCTGAACAGATTTACAAATCTTTTGGCTCCTGAGGCAGTTCATATTTCTACATTTCAACTGTTTATATGTCTGTAATTCAGCTTTGGAAAGAGGTAATTGCCAGTTACCCTGCATGTGTAGCCTGTGAAACGTAGACACTGAAAATTCATACTTGCACCGTCACAGTTGTACAAAATACATGACCGGGCAGGCTCAATGACCTCATTTGGTATGTAAAGAACTGTATCTAGCCACAATAAACTAATATCAGGGTAAGAACTACAAGCAACCTCAGTGTAAAATATATATATATATTTTAGGGCCTTGAAGTCTACAGCTAGAATGCTCTGCAGCCCCAGGGAATGTAAAAGCTTAGCTCATTTTTAGAGAACATATACTGTCTACCGAATCCCTGCACATGATCATTTGAGGTTGCCTCTCTGAGCATGCACAGGGAATCGAGACAAGAAAGCACTCACTGCAATACCGCTAGGGCACGTTTGTTCCAACGACTGGTCTGTCCTGAATAGACGACAGGACAGACGATTGGATACTGCAAGGTTTTTTTTGTTTTTTTTTATTAGGGAGGGCTTCACTCCTTATGATAATGGAAAAAAGGTATAAAAACAAATGCTTATTTGAAAAATCTGCTTAGTTTAAGGTTAAGGGATGGTGTTTAGTGATAAGTAACCTATACTTTCTGTAAGTGAACTATCCCTTTAAGAAAGGCAAGAAATGCATCTGCATACAAAACTGTGGCCAATGAGAAGCTCCTCAGGTCCCGAAAAGGAAGAAGGGCTTCTTATTGGTCAGCAGAGTCATGTGACCATGCTGACCATTGGCGAGTATTATGATTAATCCAGACTGTGGGGCTTTCAGTTCTAGTATACGATGTATGGATCACTACACAGACAGGAGGGGACATCAAAGCAGGGACGAGGTGGGGAGGCGGCTGTAATGTTTCTCACATTTTGTGAAAAGGTGAACTTAACCTTTAAGGTATATCTAATTCCAAGAACAAAATGTAATATATTGGAAGTGTGCTGGTTGCATTAGTTTTCCTTTTTCAGGCCAAGAACATTTTCAGCTAGTACAGAAAATACCTGTTAAACTTTTCCAGAAATGCCACGTCCTTGTTACTTTCTGTGACTTCAACTAAAAGCACAATTTGCCTTCCTTCTGTAAACTACTAATCTCCCCATTACACATGTAATGGGTATTACCAGAGAAAGACATGAGCATGACAACCATGCTCAACAGATACAGTGCATAAGCATAGCAATCTCGTACAGGAAGTGTAATTCTGTGAACAACACTAGGTAAAATGGAATAAAAAAGCCCTGAAAAAGCAAAACTAATGTAGCCACCTCATCCTCAGACTTCTAAGCTGAAATTGCATAACTCCTTTTGTTTTTTGGCTAGTTCACACCAGCCCCAGTGCATGCAGCATTTTTTCTGACCCCACCAGAACGCAGGCACTAATGTGCCGCGCATTCCAGTGCAGGCAATCGCACTGCGGCCGCATGGCGTGGCTGCTGTGCCATTGACTTCAATGCACCACCACGCCCCCTCCCAGCCCAAAACAAAGTGAGCCGGCCAGAATGCGATCCAGTGCATTCCGGCACCGAATCGGGGCTGGTATGAACTAGCCCTTAGGGTCTATGAATGCTTTACAGTCCTACTGTGGGACGTAGGGGGATTGCCATGTTTCAGTGCTCTGCTATAAGATGGTGTTAGGTCAACAAACGTAAAGATGAAACCATTTCCCCTGAGAAGTTCATTCTTCCCTTTCTACCTTCCCAGCTATGGCTGTAGCAAATTTTGTTGATCGCATCATTTCAAACTTCCTTAAACTTGCCATACACCTATAGATTATCTGGAGACTTTCTATGGTCAGATAGCATGCACTGAAGGCACCGTATCATGCAGTGTGAATGGACCCAGAGTCCCACCAATCCATACGTGCATTTCTACTCTCTGTAAAACTAAAAGCCTAGTTGGGTCTGTCCCACATAAAAGCTTCATGTTCCAGCACACTATACTTGCATGTCTCTAAAGAATGAGCAGTCCCAGGTGTTACCAACCTCTATAGAGATGCAGGTCTGATTACATTGTGGGAATTCACAAAGCCTGGAGCAGAATCTGGAGCAGCTGTGCAACCACTTTCTCTCTTTCAATTCCAAGCCCTAACTGAACAAGCTAAAGATAGAAGCTGATTGGTTACTATGGGTGACTGCTCCAGATTCTGTCTGCTCCAAGTTTAGTACATTTCTCCCGATTTTACTTGCAGTTTTCCCTTTCTCTAATGATTGCAAATAGAATTAGAACTAAAATAGTTAAAATAGAATTTTAATAAATTATACAAAATACATAACGCTCCATACGCTTAAAATGCTTTTACATTTGTTGTTTTCACTTTCCTCCAATCCTTTCTATACCTAAAATGGGCACACCTTTTTAGTGTCTCCACACACACGATCACACCATATACAGACATAAGATCACTCCATATTACAGACATAAGATCACTCCATATTACAGACATAAGATCACTCCATATACAGACATAAGATCACTCCATATACAGACATAAGATCACACCATATACAGACATAAGATCACTCCATATACAGACATAAGATCACTCCATATACAGACATAAGATCACACCATATACAGACATATGATCACACCATATACAGACATATGATCACACCATATACAGACATATGATCACACCATATACAGACATATGATCACACCATATACAGACATAGGATTACTCCATATACAGACATAGGATCACACCATATACAGACATAGGATCACACCATATACAGACATAGGATCACTCCATATACAGACATAGGATCACTCCATATACAGACATAAGATCACTCCATATACAGACATATGATCACACCATATACAGACATGATCACACCATATACAGACATATGATCACACCATATACAGACATAAGATTACTCCATATATAGACATATGATCAGTCACTCCACATACATAGACATGTGATCACTCCATATATAGACATATAAGCTCTCCTGGACCCAAGGTCCCGTGACATGAACTGGTGAGTACAGGATACAAGCCCGGTTCAGGTAGCACATTCATTGATTCAGGTTGCAGTGTTGTCAGACTGGCTTGCACTCACCTAGTAAGTTTGCTCCTCTGATCTTCTAGTGGTATCAGCAACAGGAAGCACGGACACCGCGAACTGTCTGCAGATCGATTGAAGAAAGCAAAGGAGGAAGAGCAATTCTTTGTGTAGGATGGAGTTAATTGTAGAAGAAAGGGGCCGCCCCTATAGGAAGAAGCCTATTAGAAGGAAGCCAGGCGGTGAGAGGGAGGAGGAAGTCGTGACAGTATTGTGCAGGGAACAAGGTAACCTGGAATACATGGAATATAATACAAACACAGATGCAGCTGCCATGGATGGTGTAATGCCCTGTCCTCTCCTTGTACTTCAGATGTGTCTCTAGAGCCAGCACACTTGTATTTTACTGAAATCCCAGCATATTTACACTTGTATTTCTTCTGTTTCTGTAGAACAAGATCCAATGTACCATACCTGCATATGTCCTATCGCAGGACCTTGCAGTAAAATGATGGGTCCACTTATGAGGGCTCGCTCCGCAGTGCCAGGACAAGGTCATCCAGCGCCCAGGGCAAAGATGCTAAACTGTACCCCCCTTTTCCCCCTCCTTGTTTATTGGTAGTGCATGTCCCCTTGTCTTCCACTGCTGGGATCCCATTTCTGTTTGCCACCTGGATGGCAGTGCACAATTCTGGGTCTGCCAGTTAGTGTTTACCAGGACCCCAAAGTGTGCAGTGACGTGGGACCATCCTGCTGTGTGCTCTCTGCCTCTGCCAGTCTTCTTCTGCTGATTATGAACAGTGCCAGACCACCCAGGATCTAAACACATATCACACATGTGATAAGGATGACCAGGGGTGGTGCTAGGATTTTATCAGGGCCTATTCACACCTGTCTATTTTGACGCACAACAACATTTTGCTGCATACAAATGTATGTCAAGTAGAAATAACATTCTCGGTTATGTGGCTGGTTCACGTTAGGGATGAGCCAGGGTATTCCCTGCCCGCAGCTGCACATAACCAAAACGGGCAGCATGGAGTGACATCATTGACCTTTTGTGGCCACATGGCTAGATTTGGGCAATAGGATTGGCCTAATACGGCCACGTGGCCCTATAAAATCAGTGACGTCTGCACAGGCATATACAGACATAAGATCACTCCATATACAGACATGTGATCACTCCATATACAGACATGATCACTCCATATACAGACATATGATCACTCCATATACAGACATATGATCAGTCACTCCACATACATAGACATGTATGTCTATGCCCCTTTGTTAAGATGCAGCTGTTGGCCAGGAAATGCATCGATGATTTGGTGGGTGGGCCATCGCATTTTCTTGTTCAGAGGAGCTCCAGTTCGGACCTGGCTTGCTCTGAAGCTTAGTTCATCCCTAGTTCACACCTATGCCCTGCAGTTTATTGCAGACATCTCAACTCTCCCGGACACTCCGGGAGTCTCCCACTATTAGATAGCGGCTCCAGGCCACCCGGGAGAGAAACACTTTCTCCCGGAAAAGTTTACTCTGCTCGATCGAGCAGAGTAAACCTTTCCCTGCTCTGTTTTTATTTTTTTCTGACATCGGGGCCGGCGTCAGTCAGAAAAAAAAAAACAGCATAGGAATGCATAGCTAGATTTCTATTGGCTATTTCACTTTGCAATAGCAAACTAGCTATTGCACCCGCCCACTGCTGCTGTCAATCAGCAGAGGGGGACCTAAAGTTCGCCATCAGGTCCTCTTCTATTGATTGACAGCAGCAGAGGGCGGGTGCAACAGCCAGCTTAATATTAGATATTGCAAATTGAAATAGCCAATAGGAATCTGGCTATGCATTCCTATGCTGTTTTTTTTTAAATTATTTATTCTGATGGCAGCAGCTGCCAGGTTACAAAAAAAATAAATAAATGCTGCAGATATTGGGGCAGAGGGCACCTCCCTGAAATTGCTTCTTTCAGGTTGTGATCCCTGTTATTGTGAAAGAAAATTGAAACTCTTACATGAGTGCAATGTATGCACACAGAAAGCAACTCTACAGCGCACAAATCCATCAGTGGAAGTGTCTAAGACCCCATTCACACTGAGCGATTTGTAGCGCGATTTCCGCTCCACAATCGCTCAAATATCAGCTCAATGTCGCTCAATGTAGTTTGTCCAATGCATTTCAATGGAGCTGTTCATATCTCACCGGTAAATGTCGCCTGTAGCTCGTCGCTCAAGCTTGTAGCTCGAACATGACCTATTTTTTGGCGGATTTTGTGCGATTTGGCCCAATAGACTTTAATGGTGTAGCTCAATGTCACGCGACATTGTCGCGCTATGTTGCGCTACAGAAGTGTCAATTTTGCACAGAAATATACGAAGGAAGGAATGATGTCACATCAAGACTGCTTTTGATTGGTTACAGCCCAATGTAGCAGCTACAAAGACCCTGCGAAAAGTCACGCTAGCGCGACAAAATGTGCAATGTAACTCAGTCTAGCTCAATGTCGCTCAGCTCAAAATCGCTCTTTTTTGGATGTAGCTCAGTGTGAATGGGGTCTTAAAAAGAATAGATTAAATAGAGTCTGAGACTACTTGATGTACAGTATATGCTGCACATACTGTATATATGGCAGTCCTTGTACCCACACAATATGCCTCAATTACTATGCTAGTGTCACAGGCACTTGTACACCTCACCACAATGCTTTTTCATACACAGAATATACATAAAGAGCTGATGCTCCATTTACACATAGCTAGGCCATATTTTGCAGGAAGCGTGTTTTCCTACAGCACGGGCATAGTGTGCCCTAGTGCGAACAACTCACATTGAAAATCATTATTTTTTATGTTTAACCCGTTTCCACGCATACCAATATGTGCGGAAAACAGCTAATGTGTGAATGGGGGCTTAAACTTTGGAGTTCATGTATAAAATTCTGCACGGTACCATCTAGGGGCACTAGTGCCATGCAAACAGCATCCACCCTTTTATACATGAAACCCTTTGTCTGATCCTACCTTGAAGAACAACTCAAGGAATTTAATAATTAACCCTTGAAAATGAGGCTACCCCCCACACTGCAAAAGTTAACTGGTCATTTTGGTCTAGGTGCTAAAAAAATATATATATATACTCACATGATCCTCAGCCCTGCAGCAGTGAGCGCTCACCTTTCTCCCCTCTTAACCCTAACCCCACTGCAAGGATTCATTTTTACATTCCCTGGAGTTATTCTTTAAAGAAGTACCTCATTAAAATAGTTGAGAACTACTTTGTAACCAACTGTGACTGTTAAGACAATAGACACCTTGAAAAGGAGTATCTAATGTCGAACATGCTCAACACAAACATAGACCCTAACATAACAGAGATATATTTTCCTATCATATACACAGAATAGTATGCAAATAATCTTTAATATAATTACCCATCCTTTTAGGCACTCAAATAAAACAACTACAAACTTTCCTCCAGCGCGATACTTATAAATGCATAATTATTCAACACATGCTTCCATCATAATTACACTGGTCTACAAATTTTGGGGAATTATCGACCTCCGAGATAAAATGTGTTTATTCTTACATATTTTGATTAGATGAATTAGAAAACAGGTTATAGAAGTGCTTGTTAGCTTTAAGTTTTCAAGATATTTTGCAATAAAGATTTGTACACAGGCGAGTATATTTGCCTTCAAGGGAGGGAGGTGTCTGATGATCATGATGCCTCGTAATTTCTTAACAAAGTACGGTAGAACAATGAAAATGGTACCACATGGAAATGTATAAATTTATCTTCACTTTCAGACTAAAGATTATTACCTAACTGTCATTTATTGTTTTGTATTTGCAAGGTACAATTGTATTGACCAGATCTACGCATCATACAGTTACATCTGGTGACTTGTGAAAGTGTCATTGCCTAACATTTCCAAGGAACAGTTGCGTGATATTTTCCCTCAGAAGCCAAGATGCCTCGAAACTGTGTAAACAACGCAGATAACTTCTGCTACATTTGTGGCGAGGTTACATTTGCATCTCAAAAGTGCAGTATGACGGCAGTGGTAAAAAAGGCATAACACCTATATTTTGGATGCAACATAGGGGATCAGGACAAGAGTTAGGCCCCTCATTATTATTGCATTACATGTGCAACATATCTGCCTCATTGGCTAAACAAGAAGAAAAAGTTCATGCCTTTCGCAGTCCCAATGGTGTGGAGCGAACCCACCAATCATAGTAGTGACTGCTATTTTTGCATGGTTCCCCCAATTGCAAAAGGGATCTAAAAAAAGAAGAAGTGGATCGTGGAATAGCCAAACATTCCATCCGCAGGCGTCCTGTACCCCATGGTGAGAACTTGCTTATTCCAGATCCACCAGAATCCTACTCTCTAGACTCAGATGATGATAAAGACGATGAGCAGGATGCAGCTGATCCGGGGCCATCAATGTCAGCGGACCCAAACTTCCGCCCACCGTATGCTCCTCCTGAACCACATCTAATTTTACAGAGTGAACTAAAAGACCTGGTCAGGGATTTGGAATTGCCTAAGAGTAAGGCAGAGCTACTGGTCTCCAGATTACAACAGTGGAACCTCTTGCAGAGTGGTGTCAGAGAAAACCAATAAATGATTGGAAAGTTATGTTATTGGTATCAATAAAAAGATACATTTATAATGATTGGTGTGGCACCATTCTCATTGCTATATCACATTTTGCAGAAACGTTATGGAGCGTTATTGCACATCCCCCTCGTAATTTCGATGCAATTTTGACCTGAATCTGTATCTTGGAAGTCTGGAGCCAATTAATACTCAAGACTTAATTTTCCTTTATTAGTGACCCAATTCTGGTAAAATTTAGCTACTTTCAGTTCCGAGGCTTTCTCCTTGTAGACCAGTGATTAGACACAATACACAAATACATAATACCTACATCTTAAACTTTCTTATGTGTTCAAACTTTATCCACTTGATTATATATCTCAAGCATGTGTCTTTATTTAAGAGAAACAATGTCCTCAAGGTTTGAGGCCATTTGGTATTATTTTAGGACATATGTTTTGAAACATGGTTTCCAAATATCACTTCTTATAAGGGTTAATACCTTCTGTCCATGCCATTATTTCCTGAAATTCATCTTGGGACCATCATCACTCCTGGCTAGAAATTATTATCATAATAAAGTCTTTCGATGCACTT